ATATATATATATATATATATATATATATATATATATATATGTAATAATTATAAAGTGATATACGCCAAAATATAATAAGCAAAAAAGATTATGTATCAAGTCACACATGCCATCACTCACGTGATTGGCTTGTGGGGCACCTATGACTAGCAATATAGCACTTCTTCTGTGGTAGAGAGTTTTGAGTAGAAGCGGATCGAGGGAGGGAGGGAGAGGAGGGGATGAGCAGAGGCACCCTCAGTTGTGGTGGGGTGGGAGAGGGATTTGAGGATTCTAGGGTGTTGCTCCCGTGAGAATGGGATAGCAGAATTGGGGGGATAGGGAGCGACTATTATCATCTGCGTCGACATCAATGTAGTTTCTGAGCAACAACTACATTAGCATTGACGCAGATACAAAGTGACGTGAGGCAAGCGACGAGGAGGTCGACCACACGCTTTTTGTGGAAACAAGTAGCATTGTGGTGAAAGCAGACCTTATTATCGTCGAAAACGACCAAATAACTACGTTGGTGTCAATGCTAATAACGTTGTTATCCACAATCGAATATTAATTTTATTTTATTTATCATTTATTTTTATATTTTTATTAATAAAACTAATATCGTTATAATAAATAGATCTTGATATTTTATTTTTATAATTATAAAAATATTTATATAATTTTTTTAAAATATATGGGCCGGGGCTCTAAGGTAGCTATCTGAAGCTAATTAGTCGCTTCTCCATCTTCTTGCGGGGCCACGCCTCATCTGGCTGAATCGGGCGGCTGCGATCACTTTCCGTTCATCCGAAGGCAGAGATGGTCTATTAGTTTCAACGGTCCAGATCGCGAGGGCAGGGCCATCCGCAGGCCGGCCCACATCGATTTTCGCGCTATAAAAGCGGCCGAATGGTGCGGGAGAAGGTTCGATGTCCTCGGGGACGGGGAGAAGGCTGGACGAGGGACAAGGTCGAGCTCGGGGACGGCGGACGCTATAGCGCTCGCTAGATCTTCTTCTCCTCCTCGGAGTCCAGATGTGAGGTAAACCACTTTTCGGCCCTCCTCTCTCTCTTTCTCTTGTTTCGCCCTTTCTCTAGTGTTTGGTTGCTTGATCTCCAGGTTTTTGTCATTTTCGTTGGTTTCGTTTGCTTCTGTAATGATACTCCGATTTGAAGCCCTAGGGTGCTTGTAATGATACTCCTGGATGTTTTTCATATGATCTGTTGGAGGCAGTCTCATTTGGAGGTAGTAATGAAATGGAATGCTGGTATCAGTCATATTTAGTTTCACTTGGAATAGTGCGCCATGAATATGACTGTAGTGCGGTTCGTGTGTGCAATGGTTGTAGCCAAGTTCCGACTTGCTTACACTGCGTCCTGGTTTCATGGTCATTGTTTGCGACATCAAACGAGAAGACCAGAAATCCATCCTCGTCACTCTCGCTGGCCATCTTCGGAACCCGAAGGTGAATTCCCCAGCGCATTACACAATATAATATTACCCTATCAGAAAGAAAAAAGAGCAATGGCCAAATGGGCGTCGTCTTCCGCGTGCGCGCGGCTGACCTTCGTAGGTCTACAGATGAGGTCGATCTCTTTCCCTTCGCCGTCGAGAAAGATGGATAGTTCCACAGGATCATCCCTATATATATATTTATGAGTAAGAAGAAGACTTGGCTTCCCCGCTTTGCTTTTCCATTTACTTTCCTCGTTGCTCTGTCCACCTTCCCTTATTTCATTTATTCCTCATCTTTTCGGTCGATTGATTGACATAGAGGGAGATGAGAGGATGGGTTCTCCGAGTGGTCTCGAGGATGGAAACCTTGGCGAGGGAGGGGAAGGAACCAGCGGGGTCGGCCTCTCCTCTCTGATCTTTCTCGGGACCGGTTGCTCTAACACGGTCCCCAACGCCAGGTGCTTGATCCAGCCTTCTGATCCTCCTTGTGCCGTCTGCACCCAGTCCCTCTATGTGCCCCCCGAGAAGAATCCTAACTACAGGTCTAATTCCCATTCCCCCCCACCCCCTTGCCCGAACTCTCTCTCTCTCTCTCTCTCTCTCTCTCTCTCTCTCTCCACCTGCGCTATTTCATGGTTGATTTGAGTTTGGCTGCTACATGTTACTGATAGTTTCTAGATTGTGGAGTCAGTTGTATCCTGTCAGCCACTTATGTCTTGTGAATTGTACTACTTCGGATGCATATTCATAGCCACGTATGCCCTTAAAATATTATCAAATCATAAAAGTTGTTCATGTAAAATAGAGAACTAGCTAAACTTCAATTTTTTTTAATTTGATCATTTGATACTGAGTTTCATGTTTTCTGTTTTTCTATTACTTCTTCTGAAACTCTTGAAAAAAATAATATAAAACTCTTTAATGAATGTAATGCAATAAAATTTTGGGTTAGAACTTATCTACTACTCGAAAATAAGTTTCTATTCAGATATTACTAATGGATGCTCATTTAATTTAATTATGTGTTTTCCTAGACTCCGTAGTGGCCAGAACTTACTCTGAGTGGCTCTTATAGGCCTTTAGCTGCTTTATTAAAGTATTACTATAGGATTTTGGTTAACCATTATCTTGTGACGTGTTTATATTTTTTCTATTTTAAATGTTAATGATAGCCAAGTCATACATTAAGCTTCCTTTCATACTAAAATTTAATGTTCTTAATGTAGCCTTTTGGAAAGGCAAACCATAGGTATAAGTTAACTCATAAATGAAAGAGGCACTTTAAATAGAGATCATTGTTGAGTATATATGCTGTGAACATGGAAAAATATTAATTTTAAGAAGTATCATTTTATCACATTTTACTTTCAATATTCAGAATATTGAAGCTTTTAATTATTAATTTTGTCATGCTTCTACTTATAGTAGCTTTTAATAAATGACAGCAAATCTGTTCTGACTAAATTCATATAATACTACCTCAAAGCTGGTTTGGTTGACTCTCAACTATGTGTTAATAGCTATATCAGGGGCCAAATAATTTGCATTAATCAAACATGTTTAGGAGTCTATTCATTCAATTTTATACAACATGCCATAAAGTCTCAACTATTGATGTTTGACTTCCTGAGTTAGATTTAGGTAAATCAATGGTCTAAACAAGAGCATTCAAGTTTCTTTGTATTGTTTCTGATATAGTTTTCTTAGGTCTTCTCCCACCTTTCTTTATTCCACTAATCCTAATCGGTGGGCACATGTGGCAGTAAATCAATAGTCTAAACAAGAGCATTCAAGTTTCTTTGTATTGTTTCTGATATAGTTTTCTTAGGTCTTCTCCCATCTTTCTTTATTCCACTAATCCTAATCGGTGGGCACATGTGGCAGGTAAATCAGTAGTTGCTCCAGACATATGTAGCTGTGGAACATTTAAATTCTTTATGCTGTAAATGGACCCATGAAGGCATGGTTTGTTTCTGTATATGCAGAAAGACTTGAAAGTCTCATGAAGAAGAATGCTAGTAGCCTGGTTAACAATATTAACCGGAAAGCTAACAATTGAAGAAGAAAATAAATGAAGAGTTTGTGCACTAAACATGTAAGAAAGGAGCTGTCTTTCATCAATAACTTGGATTCTCTTGAATCTTTAAAGGTTGCTTGCTTAAGTTGTCTGTCAAGAACTAGCACACAATTAATTTGCATTATGCTTTTGATTTAGAAGGAAAGTAGATGTGCTGATCTGTACAAGTGTAGGCTGAGATAATGTTACTTTAATTGTGCTCGATATTACTGTCTTCTAATTGGAAGATGTTCTAGATTAAAGTGGGATTGAACAAGTGAACGCAATAATTTCAAATTTTGCATTCTGTCGGCTTATTTGTTGAGAGCTCAAGAAAACTTTTTTCTGTTTTAATATGCATGACCACAGAAAAAGTTCCATGTGAACTGAATTTTCAGCGAAGAGTGGTTATTAAATTCAAAAAATCTACTCTGATTTGTTTATTATGAGTTTACTTATTTCTGCATCATTTTCTACAGGTGCAACACTTCTCTTTTGATTGATTATTGTCAAGATGATGGTGTACACAGATATATTATTATTGATGTTGGAAAGACCTTCAGGGAACAAGTTTTGCGGTGGTTTACTCACCACAAAATTCCTCAAGTAGATTCTGTGAGTAATATCTGCTGTTTATATTTTAGTTATCGGTAATTTTCTCTTCTCTTTCATTCAAAGATTTTATTTTTGTCTCCATATGGATGAAGAATGTTCTAGTTGTGAATTTTCTCTGCTCATTATGTGCTCACATCTCGCAATTTAGTTTGCATTCTGATTAACAAACATCTGCTGTTTATATTTCAGCCATCGGTAATTTTCTCCTCTTTTTCATTTACAGGTTTTATTTTTGTCTCAATATGGACGACAAACATACTAGTTGTGATTTTTCTCTGTTCATTATGTGCTCACATCTTGCAATTTAGTTTACATTCTGATTAGTAAACATGTTTTGTTCTTTCATATTATTCTGTTTATATGAACACTGAAAAGCTTTTTTTGCTACAGATTTTTCTAACTCGTCAATTGGTTTATGATTACTGAAAAGATTTTTCTGCTGCAGATTATTCTAACTCATGAACATGCAGATGCAATTTTTGGTCTTGATGATGTTCGGATTGTACAATCATTTATTCCATTTAGTCCTCCAAATGATATTGATCCAACACCTATTTATGCTACAAAATTTACAATGGACAGGTACTCCTATGCTTGTAGAAATGTCTAGATGGTTATTTCTTGGTGATTGCATCTTTTCTTTGCATAACATGCATGCTCTAACATGTTAACTCATACATGGTGCTGTACCTTTGGTAATAGTAGCTTATGTTTTTTGTTGATATTTTGTGAATATTAAAAGTTAGATTATATTCTTTAAGAGAGCTAATTGACAATACATCTTAACAGTCATTACATTGAAAGTTTCTAAGAGCTTTTTATTATCTTAAGAAAGAGTTACTTGCTGTTTGAATCTAAGAGTTTTACTGACAACATTATTGATGCATCGTACTTTTTTTTTCTTTTTTTCTTTCTTTTTTCTTGACGCATCCTACTTAGTTCAGTCTTTGTTCTATAAAACATGCATGTTCTTTAACTTTTTAATCTATTAATATAATAAATGCATATTAACTTCTTCAATCTTAGGTTTAAGACATCTCTAGTTTATTTATCGTAAAATAAACTGAGAACTAGTACATAGTGAGATCCGTATAATTTGATGTTGTCCACATCATATTCATGAAAGAAGATGCATGAACTTCAAGCCTAGGTAGCCTTATAAGCTTGATTATAAGTTGAATTTTGATTTTCATTAACAGATGGTTAAGATAATCTTCTGGCCTCATGCTTGATACTTAATTTGTAAAAAAAAAGACTGATGCAATTATATGATGAGTGACTATGCTATTTTGTGGCTGTAGCTTGGAAGGATTATTTACATCCCTCTCACAACCAAAGAAAATATCCAAATAGAGATTTTGTGAACTCTTTTTGTGTCATTGCTCTGGCATTGTATAAAGTAATGGTGCATCTGATGATGCGGTCACTGGAAAAACAATGGAACATGAAGGCAAAGTTATGAGTCAAGAGGCATATTACCTGGGACAAGTTTATCCAAGGAGCATATAACATGAATTTGATATCCAATTTTTGGGTAGAGTTTAGCTATGTCAAGTTGGGTAACCATATACACTATTATTCTAGGTCATATTCAAGGTTCAACTGAATTAAGCTATCAAACATTGATATAACTTAGTACAGTTTTAAGTGTCAGAAACCTTTGTGATTTTTTTCTTTCAAAGGTTTGCCATTGTCTTGTACTTAAAAATACATCATGCCATGAGTGTCACCTTTTTCCCTCTTTGTTTCTCTAGGATGTTAGATTAGTGAATGATATGCTATTGTGCTATGCAAGCATGTGACTACGTGCATGAGTGTGGGTGTGGAAACATATCTGAAGACTTATCAACTCCAGAGATGATATCAATATCTCATGATAGATTCTGTTTCTGCTTTTTAGTTTTTTAACTGCTTTAAACTACTTGAGAAGCAATCACAATTCACAACTTTGAATATTGACAATTCAAGTTGATTTCACACCAAATGACATGTTCGTGAAATTGCAAAACAAGAGAAGACACTGAGAGTTTAAGTGCAAGTTAATGTTATATTATTGGCTTTTAGTAAGATGTGATATGATGTTAGGTAAAATGTTCTTTTGTATATGTTTATTTACTGCATGCATTGTATGATTTTTAATCGCTCTCTCGTGGAAAAGTCCTTTAAATACTGAATGCTGTAACAGTGGAACATAAAAGCCAAACACATCCAAAAGTTTGTTTTATTTTTTTTCTTGCGGCAATATGCTAGAGATATCATTGCTTTTACTATTCAACTTAGAGAATGTAGATCAGAATGCTTTTATTTTAATGTGGATCCTAAGATTATTCTTCTTTGTACTTTTCACAGCATTGCTATAAAATTTCCATATTTAATGAATAAAATGTGGAAAGAAGGTCAAGAGGTGACGCCAATTGCTCAGCTTGACTGGAAAGTAATTGAAAGTGACCCTGATAAAACATTTATGGCATCAGGCCTAGAGTTTGTTCCTTTGCCAGTTACTTACTCTAATCTCAAACCGGAGTATATCAGATTATTTCTTCTTCCTCTTGGCCACTTTATTCTTTATCAAATATTTCTATCTAATTACAGGTATTGCATGGTGAGGACTATGTTTCTTTAGGTTTCCTTTTTGGGCAACAGTCAAGAGTTGCATATATATCTGATGTTTCACGTTTCCCTGATAGCACTGAGAATCGTATGTATTCCTTGACTGTACTTCACACTGTAAACATAGATATTGAGCACATTAGTTCAGCATTTGTTTCCTGTGCATTCATTGGTTGCACCAGTTAATTACTTCATAAATTGTCTTTAAAGGCCTTCTATCAACGACAGCATTTCTGCAAGTTTCAGCTTGTTTAGGTCTTAGCTTTGCTGTCATCTAAGTGAGCTAAGGCACCCTTGTGTTGTGGAGATTGGTTTTTGCAGGGCCTTCATGGGAGTCATGTGCATCCTAAGGATATGAATAATTGTGATTGGACTTTGTTCTTGGTCAGTGTGCATAATTTTAGAAAAAAGATTTCTAGGAATAACCCTCCTAATTTGGGCTTTCTTTTTTGAGGAAAAGAAAGATCTATGCTAACGCTGGAGAATTATGCTTCTAAGCTAGACAAAATTTATTTCAAAATCAGAGTTACATTTTAGCATGAGCCTCTAAAATTACAAGCTTCCATGTACTCTATACACATATATAATTATTTAGGAAGAAGAGCTAATCTCATCACCCCATAAAATCCTGCAAAAAGAGATATCTAGGATATCCAAATATGACCTCTAATAGCTAAATTACTTGGCTAACATAGACTATGACAATATCATGAATCTTGGACAATATGCTTTAAGACAAATTGGTTCCAAAAATAACTACAAAAATTAGTATGTTCTCCCGTGTTCCACTTCAAGGTGGGTATAAGGCTCCAACACACTCAAATCCCAAGTAAAAACAAGGTTTAAATCTTGATCCAATACCATTTTTGATAATTTGTTGGACTGGTATATTGCACAAAACTTGAACTTGTATAGCCCAACATCAGTAATTCTCATTTTATAAGTGTAGAATTCTTGTTTGTCTTTTATAGGTAGAATATATATTCTCATCTGTGTCTGAAGGGCAGCATTGCTGCATAGTTATCATTTTTCGTTACAGCCCCACTATTGCCCTTTTAGGCTTGTTCCATTTGCAAAACATCAGCAGTGAGCTATATCTAAGATAGACTTTTGGGTTAATTTCACTAGGTCTTTTGACAAATAGTTGCCAAAATAACTACAAAAATCAGTATGTTCTATCTTGTTCCACTTCAAAGTGGGATATATGGCTCCAACCCACTCAAATCCCAAGTAAAATCAATGTTTAAAATTTTAAATCTTGATCCAATACCATTTTCGATAATTTATGGAGTGGTATATTGGACAAAACATGATTTTGTATAGCTCGATATCATTTATTCTCATTTTATAACGGAAGGTGTAGAATTCTTGTTTCTCAGTGTCGTCTTACTCTCTATAGGTAGAATATATATTCTGATCTGTCTGATGGGTAGCATTGCTGCTGCATGATTATCATTTTTCGTTATAGGCCCATTTTTGCACTTTTGCATTTGTTCCATTCACAACACATCAGCATTGAGCTATTTCTAAAAAGATTGACTTTTGGGTTAATTTCACTAGGTCTTTTACTAGATCTTCTAACTATTATTTATAAATCTTGTAGTCTTGTTCCATCTCATACCTTAAGGTTGATGCAAACATCAGAAGATAAAAATTAGAACCTTTTTTGATACTTCAAGAATAACTTGACATGGGCTGGCAGTTATCCATGTCTTGATGCAGACAAAGACAACTAATAACTGACGAGCAAAATTGTATCGCATTTTCCCTAATTGTCTACCATTTTCACAGAAGAGCAAACTTGCATCACGTGCATCGTCACTTTCTCTTACTATCACATTCTTTTATTTGCTTTCTTTTATACAGTTATTTCTAAATCTGGAGGACAGCTGGATCTTCTGATCATAGACACTAATTCACTACACAAGGTCAGTCAAATTTTGTCATTTGATTAACTTTGTTTCCTGCCCTCGTACCTGGATGAGTGATGTCGTCAACAATCTCATTAGTTTTCTTGAGTCATTAACTACAATTTTGTTCTTGAATGCTTGCAACCATACCTTTCATGTTCATCCCATGGACTAGGAATTCCAATTCAAGAAAACTTGAACAACTGGTCTAATTCATATGGATGCATCCACTTATTTTTTTTGTCCAACAAAGAAAGAAACTATTTAATTAATAAAAAATGTCCGACACTATTTGCATCCAAGCGAACCAAAAATAAAAGGTCAGGTGGGAGATCCTGCTGCCGCTCAGTTCATTCTTATTGTTTTGGCGTGCACAGCCAGCCAGTTAGCTGCCGAATTACCCATGTATCAATTATGTTCTGTTTGCTATTACAAATTATTTCCAGGTCATCATTGTAGAGTTCCCATAACAAATGTTTCAAGTCAGATGAAAGTATGAAATCTATTCTTGTGGCCAATCACACAAATAAACCTAAAAGCACCACCCATGTGTCATTGCGAAGAAATTATGGTTATAGATTATAAGTCCTTGGAAAATATTGCTATTTCCAAATAATATTAATCAAGGAGTCTAAATTTGTGATGAACTTCTCAGAATGGGCAGTTGCACAAGCCTGATATGGCCTTGGGTCGTGTACTCATATGAATGATGTATAACCTGGACACATAATGCTACATGAGATAATATGGTAGACCATAATTTAAATTTAATCAAGCCAGACTAGCTGAACAGGTGTGGTATTACATATAAATTCATAATATTAAATGAAAATATCTATGTCATATCTAGGAATTAAATGTATTATTACTATATTCATCTATGTATAATATATGATTCTATATATTATTCTATTGGATTACCATGATACCATCTCATTAAACCAAAACCAACTATAAACACAAACCAAACCAAACCAAACCAGTGCACTTTTTGGTTCCGTCCAGTTCCTTTGCTAACCATTATGTTCACCATATACCAAGTTCACAGATATGTTTGCTTGTAGCATTGTCAGCCACAGTGGTTATGGGAATTTTGGGTTATCAGCTGTAGCATCCATCCAAATAAGAATTCTGGGTCAACGAAATACAGTTTTCACAACTGATGGTTAACTTGCAATAGTAAACAGATTTACAAACTGAGACATACTTTTATTGAAGAGTGATGCTATTTTTATGCTTAAGTTTTTCTGTCTTCAACATATTTATGATATTTTATTTATTGACAAAAGAATCAGATTTCTTTTCCTTTGTGTTTCTTTAGGGGAATTTAGTTCCTCTTTTGTGACGACTGTCGGTATAAATTAATTCTTAAGATGACTTCCACTAGTTAGTAGTTTATACATGTAATATTTACAACTTCCAGCAGTTATTGCTTTAGGAAATTTTCATCTCCTTTGAATTGTATGCTCCTTTATGTGGTTGTTTTCTTGTTTGCATAGGTATCGTCTCGTAGTACACATCTTTGCTTCTCTGAGGTTTGTTTTATTTTGCAATCTTTCAGAAGTTAAGAGAACCTAAAATTTTAAATGCATAAATCTGAATTTTTTTTAATATCAGCTTTTATGTTGTATTCAGTCTCTTGATGCTGTGAAGAGAATTTGCCCCAAGCAGGCTCTGCTAATTGGAATGACACATGACTATGATCATCACAAGCTTAACGTGTTACTTGCAGAATGGTCTATGCGGTATGAAATAAGGACTTTCTTCTCGGTCATAAAAAAATATCAACTTTTTGCATAAATCACAGCTCTAAGTAGATAAATTCTTACTCAGAGTGGAACCTCTCTAATGTAGTGTTGAAAGAGTTTTTCTTAAATGTAGTATTACAAGTAGCTTTGTATACCTTGAAAAATTTTTCACGTGTATGCTAAACTGCAGCTGATTTAGAGGACTTTAATTTGTACAGAGAAGGAATCCCAGTGCAGCTTGCTTATGATGGTTTACAATTGTTCATTGATTTGTAATTAGGTACGATCCCTGAATCATGGAATCTTTTCTCTTAAACAATGGTGCATGTTTATTTGTCAGGCTTAGCACTATTTTTACTTTGAGGATGCAACATCTCCAAATGCTGAACCTGCTACTTGCTTGCTCTTTTAATGAACTGTGGTACAGAAATGCTTAATATCTCTTGAAATTGTAAGCACCTTATTTGTTCTGTGGGTTCTTGAGATTGCCAATATCAATAAAATCTCGTAGGTTTCCAAATAAGAACTTTTTTCTATCCACCTATTTCTTGTGGTCATTTATGTGATTATATTGTCATTCTGCAGTTTACTATTTATTCAAACACAATTTACTTGTTTCCTATGCCCTGCCCAAATGACTCCTATATTGACAATAATTCATCTGTGTGGTGTGTAATGGCTGTTATCCACTTCACAATTTTCAACACATTTCTCTTACAATAATGATGTGGAAACTTTTGAAAATCTGTGCATAAACAGGTCTCGTTGAACTGTCGATATTTTCCTTTTTTGACTAGTGGGACATCTAAGCTTCATTTGGTCTGTTTATCTTGTCCTTTTAACCATAATATCGGACCTTGGACAAAGTAAGCAGGCATTGTTTTCATAACACATTTCATAAATAGTGAATGCAGGACAAGGGGATCTGTGAGGTAATCTGATTCGTTCTTGGAATAACTTTTGGCAGGAAGATGCCTTTGGATAGACTTTATATTTCTGAGGTTGGACGTGTGTTTAATGCTCGTAACTCTTAAGGAATACCCAGCCAAGGGATTTGATTTCTGATCTGGTATTGGTTGCAATAATCTTGTCACCCAAGGTCAGTACGGCTTCGAGATATTCGATGTGATCTATATTGATATAATCTGAAATGGGTTCTTTAGGCCCATTCCAATCTCATCGTTGGGTTGGGCCTATCTCAGTATAATGCATGTCTTTTAGGCCCAAACCCAAGGCCGCAAATATGCGGTCAGTTGAGAGACGGAAAGAGAAATCTGGAGAGAGAAGGTAGCCATGCATGCATCGGACATCACGTACACCTACCCTGTTACGTCTCAGCCTTCTCTTCACAAAAGTCTTATGCCGTGACCAACTCACCTTTAACTCATTCTTCCGCGTGCAGTAACATAGTGACCCTAAAATCCAGTATGCACGGCCGTCAGCCATGAGTAGCGGAGTCCTCCAGCCAAAGCTGTCCACGATCGGAGTGTTCGCTTTGCAGCCTTGTCGAGTTGTCAAGACAAGACTGATGGCTTAAAGTAGAGTTGCTGGTGAGCTGTGAAACATATGTCGAGGGCATGATTCGTGCACAGAATATAAATAGGGAAGTCTCAACAGTGTTTGCCACGTATATAGATTTCAAGCTGTTAGGTGGTGAGTAGGAGTAGATGGGACAGGGTTGTGGAAGTAGCATATAAAGACTTGGCAGTGGATGCGTCCTCGAACCATGATTAGTTTCGATTTGTATATACATGTAGCCATTTATTCATAATTAAACTGATAATGGTCGGTATCTTATTCACATATTTGGTTTCAATTTGTATGGATTTGGTTTCGAATCTGTTTCACACGTCTGTCTTCAAGTTTGTTGCTTCGAGGCACAATTTATAATCACTTCTCTATCATTCATCATAATCAAGGATTATCCGAATCGATTGTACTTTGTATGTAATGTATTGTGCCAGGTTGGCATAAAATTACAGCTGGTGTTATCCTTTCATGTACTATTTTTTATTGTTATTTTTTTTTACCATTAAATTATTATATAATGTGTTACATACTTAAAGACGAGCAATAGGCTGAAAGGATGGGGCCCAGCAGTGGGACTTTGCTCTCATTAGGTGGCCCCCGCAGAGGCTGCACGATTTCAGCCTGTCATCTGACTTCATACCACCCACCACCCACTCACCGCACATTCGGTGATGAACGTAATATGTATCGCTCCATAGGATATATATTATGTTTAAAGGTGGCGACCGAATGCCCCCATCGATTCATGTTTCACTTAACATACTGTTCTTCAGAAGAAATAAATATTGATTCGGCATAGATTTTGGGAATTTGTCACATGATGTATCGATCTGTATCACATGATATTATTTCATAGATGATCGATGTTGAACTAAACTTATTCGGTACACAGCTGTTGTGACCAATATTTAATTCATCGGATCTGCAACGCAGGTATGCATGCATTGACTTTGAATAATTGCACTCCTGTGAGGGATACGTCCCTACCTTCTCCGAGAAACCACGTAACAGCAGATGTTGACGAGTTTGTCACCTGCAGTGGACCGCCCAATAATGCATCAGAGCAAGTACATCTCAGAAATGTCCTCGGTGCATGTTTAAAACTAATTATATCTTAATTTTTATATTTAAAAATTATAGTTACAAAGGTAAAATATCTAGGTCTATTTATCCTAATATGATCGATTTTATCAACGAAAATATAAAAATAAAAGATAAAAAGATAATTTTAACATTTCAGTTAGTGACAACAGACGACATCGATAATGACAAACAACAACACCGCTGTGGGCGTGGTTCTGCATCTACGTTGGCACAGATGTAATTACCGAGAGATGAAAGGGCCGACATAAATGTAAAGCTGTGTCGCTCGAAAATTACGTGGGCTTCGATGTAGATGTAAATTATATATATATATATATATATATATATATATATATATTGATAAAACTGATGATATTAAATAAATGGACATATATGTTTCACTTTTATAACTATAAAATATGAATATAATTTTTTAAAATATAAAAATTAAAATATTAAGTATAACTAACTATAAGAAATAATTCATAATTAGTCTCATTTATTTTTATCTATACTTTCTACTCCCTTCTAGAACATAAATATTTCACGTGGAGACCCTCGTGAAACAGTCAAAACAATGATGCATATTGTCGAGGGATTTGATGATCGAGCTTTGTAACGTGGGCTGCAAGCCACCATTTCTATTCACGACTTGACCAAAACTTGTCCCTACTTAGCAACATTATCATCTTCCTTCATTAAGCGACACGCAGATCTAACTATTTTTATAAGCAAGTCGTCTTACTATTTTAGACAATGAGGATCCGATCTGTCATTTTGGAAAAATGTGCATTATTGGAGTACAGGATATCCGTTTGACTGAAGAAGAGGTCGGGAGGTGTTGTTGGACGAATCCGATCGATCATATGACTGTGGTAGGTTGGGTTTGATGGATCCAATTATTGAGGAGGAATATTATTGAGATCCAATTGTGATTCCCCACGTCGATACATGATTTAGGGCAGTTCTTAGGCCAGGCATGGTTGCATGAAACAATATAGACATAAACAAAGGGATAGAAAATATGTGGATGTGTGGAGTTACTTTCATTCATAAGCAATCGGATCGTCTTTGAGAAAAGATGAAGATGAGAAAGAATCATGTCAATTCTACGTTCATATTGCATTGTCACGAGACAAAACCTAATTCTGAACCCACGTTTTCCACGTTGGTCGGTACTGCCACAGACATAACCTACACTAGTTGAGCACTTGTTAGACTATTCGATTGCCATTGGGAAGGCCTTCTTTATGACCATTCAATTGAGTTGTTACCTTATTTATTGCAAGGAAATTTATGCTAATGTTGAATGATTGAATCAAAGAAATGATTAGCTTAACTACTTATTACCTTCGATATTTAAAAAATTATATATTAATAAATTAATATTAAATAATAAATGATAGAATATTAGAATGTACATCAGTTGATATTTCTTTTATCTCAACCCCCAAATCAGACTCAATCAATCTGCATTTGTCACTGTAATTATACGTATTATTATTATTATTATTATTATTATTATTATTATTATTATTATTATTATTATTAAGTTGGGAGCAGGGCGTCGTAGATGCGCCGCGTGCCCACGATTAAAACGTGCCTACCCGCTCCCACCCTCCCGGGGCGACCGCGGTGGGTGGGTTTGGCTTGGCGAGCCCACCCTAGCGGCCGCTCCCGTGCTGTTACTCTACGCGTCGCCTGTAGCTGAACGACACGCCTGGCCGGCAGGGCCCGACGGGGATGGTAGAGTCCCGGGGAGGTTGGACTCTGGGTGTCCCCCGCAGCAATGATGAGAAAGAGAAGGGTCGACGTCGCCTGCAAGAACCCGACTTCCCTCCCTCGAGGAACACGTGACATCTAATCAGATCGGAGGGAGCCATTCATCCTCTCTCTCTCTCTCTCTCTAATAATGGATGGTGAGGTTTCACCTTCTCCGCCTCGACTGTGGACTCCCTCGTATAACATCCGTCAACACGGAGTCATGGGGAAAATCCAGCGACGCATATTTGTTTGCTGGATCTTATTAATACCTAAGAATAGCATGAAGATGTTGAACGTTAAAGATTGGAGAGGTGGGAACACGATATTGATGGTAAGAAGCATCCTCACTTGCTGTATCGAGTGAACATATACTTGACTGTCAGCCGTCAACATGAATCTTTCTCTCAGCACATGAAACACGTTTCTCGTAAGATGTCGGCCTCGTGAAAGCTAAGTATATTTACGCGGTTGTTTCACTAAAGAAAACTAGTTTTTTCTAACAGTGTAAGGAAACTTTAGTCTGTGATCATGTAGGGTCTCTTTCTCTCATACATGCTTTTCGATCTTAGTCTCATATTTGTCCATTCGAATCATGGAGGTGGTAGTTGAGAGGAAGAGGAAAAAAGCTTGACGAATAGATGACTGGTTGAGCTTCGTCGTTGCAGTTCTCGTACTGTATTCCTGCACCATAAATCTTTTGTCCACTCCCTCTCTCTCTCTCTCTCTCTCTCTCTCTCCCCCCGAAAGAGAGGAGAATAATTGAGCATTGTTCTTGGAATTCAAAGAAAAGAAGTGTCTCCCTTGCAGCCCACGAGTCTAATAGAAGATGAAGAGAGAGAGAGAGAGAGAGAGGGCACAAAGCTGCGTGACTGTGATGAATTATTGTACGACTGTGGACCAGTTAGATAGCAATGCGGCCCACGTTATCGGTCGTATTGTTTCACTGCTGTGCACATGTTCCATGTCTCACGTTCCGTTCCCTTCTGTAATATCTTTCACGTTGACTGTCACCACTCTCCCATCTCCTATAAAAGAGCCTCATTCCCTCAAGCCCTTCACTCACCGGGCAACACATCTGCCTCTTGTGTGTCTACATACCGCCAATTACCAAGCTTCTCTGCCCCTTAACCCCGGCCCTTCCTTCGCTACCACAGCAATGGGTAGCCTCGGCGACATTACTCTCGAAAACAACAATGTCATGTGCCCGCCGAACCCCCTCGACCCCGAGGAGTTTCGCCGGCAGGGCCACATGATGGTCGACTTCATCGCCGACTACTACCACGACGTTGATAAGTACCCTGTCCTCAGCCAGGTCTCCCCTGGCTATCTCCGTGACCGACTCCCGGACTCGGCCCCCAACCACGCTGAGCCCATCGAGGCGATCCTTCAAGACGTCCGCAACCACATTGTCCCCGGCATCACTCACTGGCAGAGCCCCAACTACTTCGCCTACTTTCCCTCCAGTGGCAGCGTCGCCGGCTTCTTGGGAGAGATGCTCAGCGTCGGCTTCAATGTCGTCGGCTTCAACTGGATGTCGTCCCCCGCGGCCACCGAGCTCGAGACCATCGTCATGGACTGGTTGGGCAAGATGCTCAACCTTCCTAAGCCCTTCCTCTTCTCTGGTGGCGGCGGCGGCGTGCTCCAAGGAACCACCTGCGAGGGCATCCTCTGCACCGTGACCGCCGCCCGGGACAAGGTGCTGAACAAGATCGGCAGGGATCGAATTGGTGACCTGGTGGTCTACTGCTCTGATCAGACGCACTGCGCTCTCAAGAAGGCGGCGCAGATCGCCGGCATTCACCCGGACAACATCCGCGCTCTGCCGACTCACCAGCGCGACGCGTTCGGGCTGTGCCCCGAGACCCTGGGAGCCGCTCTGGCAGCCGACGTCTCGGAGGGGCTGGTGCCTCTGTACCTGTGCTCAACTGTGGGCACGACCTCGTCGACGGCGGTTGATCCGCTCCGGGCGCTGTGCGAGGTGGCAGCGGAGTACGACGTCTGGGTGCATGTGGACGCGGCCTATGCTGGGAGCGCGTGCATCTGCCCAGAGTTCCGCCACTTCATCGACGGCGTGGAGAGCGCCAGCTCCTTCAGCTTCAACGCCCACAAGTGGTTCTTCACCACATTGGATTGTTGCTGCCTGTGGGTGAAGGAGCCGCAACACCTGGTGAACGCCCTCTCCACCAACCCCGAGTACTTGAGGAACAAAGCCACGGAGTCGAAGAAGGTAGTGGACTTCAAGGACTGGCAAATCGCACTCAGCCGCCGCTTCCGAGCACTGAAGCTGTGGATGGTGCTGCGGAGCTACGGGGTGGCCAACCTCAGGAACTTCATAAGGAGCCACGTAAACATGGCTGAGCTCTTCGAGGGGTTCGTGGCCAAGGACGAGAGGTTTGAGGTGGTGGTGCCCAGAAACTTCGCCATGGTGTGCTTCCGGCTGCTGCCACCCCTCGGCAGCCGCTCCACCAGGGACGGTGGATTGGAGACGGCAAACGCGATCAACAAGAGGTTGCTCGACGCGGTGAACGCGACCGGGAAGATATACATGACCCATGCAGTGGTGGGCGGAGTCTACATAATCCGGTTCGCCGTCGGCGCGTCGCTTACGGAGGAGCGGCATGTGCGGTCGGCGTGGTCGGTGGTGCAAGAGCAAGCGGAGGCTCTGCTGGCGGAGTTCGAGGTGCAAGCAGCGCTGCAAGAGAAAGCAGAGACCGGGCTGACGGAGTTCAACCTGCATGCATCGATGCAAGAGCAAGCAGGTCAGGCGGTGCACGCTTGATGCCTCAGTTTTCACTGCAAGAGATGCTACCAAGGAAGGACATTAGAGCCAAGAAGAAGAAGTCGTCGTCGTCCGGAATAAGGATACAAGCGTTCTTTCTTCTCTCTTTTCGGGTCTTATTATTATTATTATTATTATTATTATTATTATTGTTATTATTTTTCCCTTCATTCTCAGAGTGATTGAATTATGTAATTGAATGTAAGTCATGATCATATCAGCTCATCTTCTAAGAACAACTGCGTGTAACTCATGGAAGATTAGTTACTTGTTCAGAACGCAAATGTAAGCTTACGATATCGTGTAAATTGATAGTCGATCTTACGAGAGTACAAACCTGCAGATCGATTAACACTTTATGTTGATGATATCGAGTTAGTCCAAACCTCTTTCGAGGACCAAAATTAAATAGATTTTTCGATATAATTTCTTTGATACTTCGATTAGTTCTATGTAGTAAATATTTTCTTTATTATCAATTATATTTGCCGACACGACGCACATCACATAAACGCACCTTTGGACGCTTTACCTGTCAATTTATGGCATTATAATTCAAGTACTGATCGAAACTTGATGCCAACAAGGAGAACCCCACACCTACATGTGTGGCCATTCGACTTTGTGGGAGAGACAAGTCATGACAATATGTCATTTTCTCATGTACTATATACTATACAAAACAGAAATAAAAATAAAAAAGGACTTTCTTATCATTATATTCTATTATATTATATATAAATTATTGAATTGAATTCCTTACTAGGAATCGGTGAATGTACGACCACCCAATGATGATGATGCCACTTTGGGGACAGCTAACTATAATATGGGACAATGCAAAGAGCATTGTGTTATATTTTGTCCATTATATGTACTTTTGTATCAACATTAAGTTTATATATTGACAAAGGCTTATAGTAAAAAATACATGATATGCGACCCATAAGTTTAAGAGAAATTATTCACTTTAGAGGTAAGAGAAACCTGACGGACTTATAAGTCATTGGTTCTTATACTTCTCAATCAACGTGAGATTAAATGACCTTATATATATATATATATATATATATATATATATATATATATATATATATATATATATATATATATATATATATATAATATTCCTTATCTAATATTATAATATTTTTTTGAAAAAAAATATAATTTGTGTTGCATTTTGCTAACATCATGTTGCTAATTTATCCAAAAGCATAAATGCTCATGATTTATTGATCCAGAATTGGAGAACATCCTCATCATACTTTACCAAAGTTTTTAACCATGGTTTGTGAAGAATGGTTGTTGGAATTGGTTCCATTTTAATAGTGTTCAAATTGCACAGCTCAATTACTAATGAGTTAAAATAAATATATATATTAAATAATATGCATGAGGTTCATATGTTGACTCCAATATGATAGAATCAACAATGTACTAACCAACACAAATATAGCAACAGAGACAGCTCAATTAATTATTCATGACTTTATAGTGATGTTTTTGTATTTTTTCTATATGAGAAAGTCAGAATTTTTTTTATATATAATTATAGTAGTCTAATTGTTTGTCCAATTTATAATTATTGAAAAATTATGAGATGGTAGGTTTAGTGATTGATAGAAAAAAAAAATAATAACTAGAAAGAAAATTATTGATCTCTTTAAATAGACTTACAAGAAGAAGTTTAGAAACACCAACCTATATCTAAAAGATAAGATAAAATAGTTTAAATGACTAACCCATCCATCTTAAAACTCCTAAGATAACAATAAATCTAATCATTATTTATAAAATCTATTAGCTTATCCCAACATTTTTTTCCTTTTAAACTTAAATTTTTTTGATATTCCATTTAGAATACTTATTCAAATTGGATTCTCGATGTTTTGATATACTAACAAAACCTTTCAAATTTAAAATATTTTATAAGATAAGGAAACTAGAGTTTCCACCTAGAGAATCCAATTTGGACAAGTATTCTAAATTGACTCACATGATTTCACCATAGATCTACTTCTCTTTGCCCCCGTGGATCATTGATATTTCTTTTTAGTGGATTCCCAAATCTACTTGTAACTGCCCTTACAAATAATTCTTTCCAAGATAATTCTTTACCATTAGATCTTTCAATATATATATATTCTTAAACTTTACCATTTGTGTTTCAATTAATATCAACCCTAATGCAAGTTTAGATACTCTTTCGACCGTAGAAAGTTCTCCATCAGCAAACTCCAATGATCATAATGACTATTAAATCAGAGGGATAGTAGGTTGCACAAAATTCTAAAAAATCATTAGTAAATAATACAACAACACAAAATATAAATGAAAAAAAAGCTATGGTTTTAATCTACTTTCCAGCTCACTTTTGTAGATCTTTAACCTTTTTGATCGAATCTTTAAATCTTTGACTTTTTATGGATCTTTGACCTTCTAGACCTATAGTTTTTTTGGATCTCTCGCCTTTTAGATCTCTAGATCTACAGTCTTTTAGGGATATATAGTTTTTTAGCTCTTTAGATCTCTAGCCCATTGCTAATTAGAAAGAGAAGAACAATAGAGGAAAACACGGAAACATATTTTATTGATCTCTTTAAATATATTTACAAGTAGTTTAAAAGAGCCCACTTATATCTAAAAGAGAAAGATGAAATAATTTAAATAACTAACCCATCCATCTCAAAACTCCTAAGATAATGATGCTCCATGATTTTTTATAGATTAAATGGTTATATAAATTTGTTGGATCATTGTTTTTCTTTTTTGTTTTTCATGCATCAAAATGAAAATATAGGATGATGCATGTGATAAAGGTTTTCATGTGTTGATTGCTCCTTCCTTTACCTTAATCTTGATTTAGATTAGCAGAATATTTATATGGTATGATGATTGATAGCTATACCTCATTTTACAGTTTCTGAAGTTGTCACTCATTTTGTCCACCAGGCTTGGCTATGTCTACAGGCAGTTCCTATCACCATCCTTTCAAACAACCAGTTGATTCACGGATTGCATTTGCTCAGAGATTGCGGTGATCAACATTTATGCTGTGTTGTCTCCCAACCAAGGATGATTATTAGGATGATCAACATTCAAAATGTAACTTTAATTGAATTTGGAACAAGTTCAAGCACCTGATTCCAAAACACACTGGATGAGACCTGATTCGAGAATGAATTGATTGAAATTTGCAGATATCATAAGCTAAGCCACTTTGATTTGTGCCCAACAAAAGACAGTAGTGTTTTTTCCCTGATATGATCAACACATTGTGGAAAGCTTTGATCAACAAAAGTTTACAACACCTCAATGTCATAAGCTCAAAAGTCAAAATCACATAAACCCAAAACAAAATTCCAAAATTGATTAACACGAGTATCCAAAAAATCAGACTCAAATTGAGACATTGGATTTAGGCTGCCCCTGCAAGCATTACCTGCAACACGTTGGTCCCATAAATGGTTCCTTCTGAATCATAGTTGCTGTAGCGTCCACGAATCGAACTCATAAAACTTGTATTTAAGCATGACCTGATAAAGTGAGATCCAAATATAAGTGGGTTATATGGACCTGGATCCGTTGCAGCCACTAATCAATCACTCATCATCATCCTCCGAATAAGAGAACTTTATTGAATGTGATTGCAGATCGATCTGTCCACCTCTGTAGCTTCCACGTTTTTTCTTGGTTTTTTCATGCCTAAAGTCCCTGCAACACCATATAAGAAATGAAACATGACATATGTATGTTAAGACATACAGTTTCTAGTAGTAAAATCCTTTGAATATTAAATAAACTAGCAGATTTCCATATTTAAATTAAACATGGTTCATCCACAACTGATGGCTAACAATATGTGAACAATCAGAGTACCAATCGTGAACTGCTTTCCCTACTTTATAAATATTTGGAAATTTGCAATATACACAGGACCGATAATTCACAGTAAGCAATAATTATCTTTACCTTCCTCTCACTTGACCAAGAACTTCTTGTGCCTTGGCACCATACCCCGTATCAGCACCATGCTGCAAAGTGGAAATGTAAGAAAATAAAATTTTACGGGATGTAAAAGAAACAAAATTACTTAATTACCTTAGCCCAGTATGAATTATCCTTGAGCTTTTCATCTGCAAATTTAATCTCCTCTATCTTCACCCTTTGAAAAGCATTCACACTTTTTGGCTGCACCGAGAATAAAAAATTTCAATAATTCTAAAAAAATTGATTGAGAATATCTGCATTCAACTACTACAGGCATAAAAAGAACAGAAAAATGAGATCAGAGCAGGCTGAGTCAAAAGGTAATTTCAGTCATTCTATCACTAATAATTACAGGTATAGGAATGCCTATAGCAGGTCAGAAGGAAAATGAACAGTAATCAAAACATAGATCTCGGTTAGGAAAAGATTGCTTTCAGGCAAAAGACTTTGCTACCAGATCAGCCAGGATTAACATCATAATGACTTAGCATGTGAACTAAAAATTTTAGTACTGTACCAATTAAAGGCCTTTATGATGCAAAAAAAAAGATAAAAGGAGTTTAGAAACACCACACTGATATTCCAGGCCATCTTTTTGATGTTAGGACAAAGTTATGTCCTTTAGAGAAAAAAAAGAGGACAAATTATCTATTAGTAAAAAGAATAAACCTATCTAACTTCAACTTCTCATAAAATAAAAAGACAAGCAAAGGGAGGAGAAAATTAAGAAAGGGAAGTAGCCCTAACAGCATGTGGCATAGTTATGCAGGTGTGTCCATGATCAATCCACTATAAACAGATAAGCAGAAGCATAATATTCTTAAGATGGTTTTAGTTACCTATTACACCTAATCAAAAGTATTTTCTGCAATCATAGAAATTGAAGACTTCATAAGGTCAAAATGTAACATAAGATTTGAAGTAACTACTTGAACCTGGATCAATAGAAAAAGAGGTTCTACCTTTCTATCCGATATGAGATATTATCTCAGGACAGAGAGAAGATACAGCATAATTTTGTCCACAAAATAAGAAAATTTTGCTAGTCCTAAATTTACATATCAACTGACACAAACTTACTTCTGGAGCAAAAAAAGAACCAAAAGATATGGATACCTCTGCTGAATGGTTTTCTTTTTTTCTGTTGCTTCCAATGCTTCCATTTCCTACCACTTCATCCTTTAATTTACTTGCACTATTGTTTTCATTAGCCTGTGTCGAAAGCTCGAGTTGCTTGCCAGCATTCCTATTACTATCCTTACTTTCTTCCATCTTCCTCTTTTTAGTAGTAACTGGGGTATCACCATCTAAAGCAGATTTGTCAAACTTCACAAGATTCTCTGTTTCCTCAATATTTTCAGCACCTTCAGATTTGACCTTTGAATCCTTGTCTGCAGTCTCATTATCAGTTATCCCACTCATGGGCAATACTTTTCCCTTTTTGGAAGGTTTCTTTGCAACTTTAACATTCATGCCTTCAGATTTAGGAAGACTTTCAGCTCCAAAATCTGATGTTTCCACATCTTGATTGATATTACATTCTTTAATTTGGTCACCAGATTTTTCTTCTGCTGCCTGATTAGAGTTCACAGTGGGCACAACATCAGAAGTTAATTTCTGTTTCTTCTTCTTGACTTTGTGTTGAGAATCATTATGAACCAAGAGATTCTCAGAGGCAGGACCACTGTGACCTTCGGTGTCTTCCAATTTCTTGTCCTTGAATCTTTTGTCAGATATATTCTCAGATGCTTCCACTTCTACCTTTTTTAGTTTTTTCTCTTTTTTCTTTTCACTTTTATGTTTTACATTTGCAAAGTCACTAGGTTCAGCAATCTCATCATGAGTTTCAGGCATACTCTTGAGTTTCTTCTTCTTCTCTTTGTCATTTTTATGGGGATCTGGTGACTGATTTGCAGGATCAATGCTCTCAGCTTTCTCTCGACTGACTTCCAAATGTTTATTTCCACATCCTTCAGTGGATGGGTCATGAACCAATTTCTTTGTCTTTTTCTTCTCCTTAGTTTCGGCATGCAAGTCCTCGTCCATTTTTAACTTCTCACTTTCTGTTCCATCATTAATTTGATCAGTTCTCTTTCTTTTCTTCTTGTGAATGTTCTCAGTGGTGCAGTTCATATTCTTGCCTTCTACTACTCCAGGAATGCTGACGTTTTGTAGATCTGCAAATCATATAAATTGATGTTTTATCCAAATTGTAGAAAGTTAGGATAGCATGCTAAATTGTACCATGCTCAAAAAGTACACCTGAGCCTCTAAAAACAATAGATGTTTTATCAGAATTGTCCTGATGCATGCATAGGATACAAAACTAAGCAGAAAGAAAAGACAATGAAGAACATAGTGCACCTTGATCTCTCGGCCAATCAATGCTAGCTTCTCCATGACCATTACTGCAAGTGGAAAAGTGCCTCGTAGATGATGAGAATGTAAAAGCATAAGGATACAATATAAAAGTAAGATCAGAAAGATCATAATTGGGTTTCCAGATTAAATAAATAAATGTCTGATAGTACTGCAGAGTGACAATTAAGAAAACCACGTAACGTTTCCCTTTTTTGGGCTAAGCACCCAGAATTAACACCAAAATAACACACATGAAGGAAGACACCAAACACCCAGAGCTAACACCATAAAAACACACATGAAGAAAGACACGGCACACCAAAAGACTTCAGGCAAAAGGAACATCCTAGCATATAAAATGCTGTTGTGTGCAATCCTCAAGTTCAATCTCACTCACAAATGATTGTTATTTATGTAGGAAGAAGCAAGATACGATAAGAGATTCACAGTCTGTAGCTCTGGACTTGCACTATTTAAGCTCTTGCTGTCAAATGATGATTATCCTCAGCCAATAGCAACACAAGAAAAAAACAACTGGTTTTCATGCTACTTTATGTAAGAATCCATCACCAATATCCTTCCTTCAGCCAACAACCAATATAATATTAACTTCCATCCATAGTTCTCACTAAACCATGGCTCTAAGATAATGCTAAGACGTCTCGTATTTAGTGAATTTCAACACTACAGTGTTTAAATTGTTGTCCTGATCGACAATTCCCAATTTGGGCAAAATATACTAGTGACCATCCTCTACCAAGCGAAACCTTTGTGCACAGGGGAAAACTCGTCTGTTCCAGAGTTTTGCTCAAATCCAACCTATTCTGAGCACGTCACAACTGTTTTACCAAAACAGGACAAAACCTGACCCACATTTGAAAGTCAAAACCCTGCCTGTTCTTTTTGCATGAACTGATTCTCATGTTATTCTTGTCAAACATGGGAACATGTGAAATGCTAAGAGAAGAAGAGGCGGTGGACATTAAGACAGAGAATTTTTGTTTTAAGACAGAATTTTTGTTTTTCTTGTCTTTATGATTGTTGCTGATCAGACTACCACTTGGTCATACAATGTTGGCATTTAATATGACAATCCTTGCCTTAATGTATTATCTAACACATTATCTAGAACTTCAAATACTTGACTCTGACGGATCAATGTCCCTCCCAACCATATACAGAAACACATAAAACCTAAAAACTATTACTAAAAATATAAAAACATAGAAATAAAAATCATAAATTGGTCTATAACACTCTATCTGTAACCTAAACTTCAACTAAAGTCATACCCAAGAAGCAAAGAAGCAAGCAATCATACCATGCTGTCTTGCAATTACACTCAACTGGAACTCAACTTCAAATCATACCCAAAGTTGAGTCTTGCCATTAGACACAACTTGAACTCTTAAATGACTAAATCCTAAATTCAAAACGGCATTTAACTCTAGATGAGTCACCCTTGTGATATTGTTGTTAAATCTGAACTCTTAAGATTCTATGCTCTATTGGTCCCATGCTTCACCCTTTTGAACCCATTAGCCATTTGAATAAATCTCATGTCATGAATATGATTTATCTTAAACTGTTTTATCCTTCACATGCATCCTCCAGTCAACACACACCATTATTATTACTTATGATCAACTAGGGTGTTTAGTATAGCATCTAGAATATCTAATAAATCTACATAAATTGTAAGATGAACAATATCTAATAAAATCTATAGAAAAATGGTGCCTCTTATAGGCAAACAGCTAGGGACTTTAACTAGCTATTCGATCACCAAATAAATCCAACAAGCCAATGTCAACAGCTTTTCAACTGATTGCATAAACATTGCCCTCAGTCCATCACTCAAGCTTCTTTGTCATCATGCATCATTATCTCTAGAAAAGGATATCATCTACTTTGATTTAGCACCCTTCTCACGGGTTCTCCATTTATGTTCACTATATCTTTTATTGAACATGGCCACAGGACTAAAGTAAAAAAATTGCATACCTTGAATCCAAGAACTTGCAAAATAGATCCTCCAAGTTTACAGAAGATGATTTCCAACAACCCATCTATAAAAAATTCATACCATAACATGAGTCAGAAAATTGCAGACATGATATGGGAAAACAAACCAAAAGAAGCAAAAGATGTGCTCACTTAATTTTTCAGGTCAGACAACAATATATACAGAAGCATTCTTCATTGAGTGGAACAGGAGTATTTTCAAAAGAAACACAAAATATGCATGTATACTTACACTTAGTTATCTAAAAACCACTGACAGTTTTTTTATTACAGACTTAGGCAGTACCATATAAGAGTACCCGCTTGAGGCTCCAGTACAAAATTATGTTGCTTGTAAAATGCTGAAATCAGTGTTCACCAATAAATTCTCACTAAAAAAGTACGACCCAATGCCAACCTAGGTTGACAATAAGAAACCTTAGCAATGACCAAAAGGCTCACCCTCATCAATATACTCCCACTAGGCTACCATTGTTCTCCAACCGATATCCTAAAATTATTAGACGGATATTTCTACTGTGGTAAAAATGACTTTTCTGTAAATCCATTGAGCACATGAAAGATGAAAACATAACCCTTACAGTAAAACAAACCAAAACATGCTCAAATATATGGCAGAATAATTCCTCTTGAGAGGACCAAAAGGCTCTCAATAAACAAAATGGACAGTGACAAGAAAATCCCTTCACGTAGTCAAAATCTTAATGCTCGGCATCCTTTTACCCATCTACTTAATTCTTCATAATCCTCCAAGCTCATAGCATTTTTAAGCAACCAGAAAAAGAATATATTCATATCACTCTAATCGTCTCAGTATACAAAAGCTGTGACATGGGAACGTGATTCTAATTTTATATTCATCCACCAAATATCAAAAGTATCCTTAAACTGTATCTTAAAAAAATCTAATGGATTATAGAATAACATATTTTAAGTGATTAAAAAATGATCTTCAGTATCTGCATCCTCAATCTCCTAATTTTTCATTCCTTTGCAGATCGAGAAATGGGAGGACAAGAAGGACCTTCCATTGTGACTGAACTTTTAAGTTTCAACATTTTTAAGGAAAAGGTACATGTTTCCACCATGCCATTGTAGTTTTGCAACGAATAACTGATCTAAGTACTATCACACTCAACAAGATACCACTGTATTACATACAAAAACAGATTAACAGAAAAGATTCGTCAATCAGGTGCAAGAAACGGTAATCTGATGTAAGTTTTATCAACCAATAAAAACAAAGATAACGATCGAGTAAGAAGCCTAAACACCCAACAGAGAAGAACGACCAAAGTCAAATTTTCATGCTATCGACATGTAAAACAGCCAATTAAATGACGATCATTTGGTGATAACGAAAGAGGACAAACGACTTCCAAGCACCTCGAGCCGGGTTTCGGACTGGAAGACAGAGAGAGTCCTGGAGAAGCCACTGCCGTCGAGGAAGGCCGCGATCGATCTGAGAAGGACATCTCTCCCGAGCCCGTTACGCGACGCTTCCCCGACCTCGGTCCCATCCAAGTGGAGGGGTTCCGAGGATCGCTTCTTCCTCTCCTTCTTCTCCTTCCGTCTCGCCTTGCTGTCCTCCACAGCGGCGACGGCACTGTTGGCTGCGAGCATGATTTGGCGAGGGACGAAAGGAATTGAGGCCGACGGGTTCGCTCGTTTATCGGGGAGCGACGAACAGAGCATAGCAGACGTGTTCTCTAGGGTTTATGAGGACGTGCTGATATGAGGGAGAAGTCCTTCAAACGCTCGGCCCGGATCGACCGTTCCTTTTGCGGTAGATCGGAAGCTTCCAGAACGAGCAGCATCGGTTGAGATGGTGCGGATTTCTATCGGGCTAATGGATCTAAATCCGATAATCTTATGGGTCGAGGGCCCATATTTCTCGTTTTGGGTTGGGCATCGAGCCCAAGCACCGCCACCACGTGTCGGTCCGAGATCCATGACCAATGAGGTTAACGGATCCAAAATAAGGATCCGCATAAGGAATAATTGACCTTTGGAATTATATTATTTTTGTGCCCTCACGAACAAAACATGAAATGTATTTAGAAAATTAAAAGTATAATAGTAAAGCAATCTAAAATGTATCGTATATCATTATATTGTACTTATCGAGTCCAACATTAGGTTCTTATCTTACTCCGCAAGAAAGAAGAACCCTTGAAGTTGCACCGGCCACTTCCTCGGTCTTGCAGGCTTCACCTTTCCTTGATAGATTCCATCTCATCAGCTCACGAGGAAAAGAAAGAGGGAACGAAGAGAATACTTCGGCTTTCTTTGTCCGTAAGCCATCATGCACACTTCATTCTAGTAGCTCCTACAGACACAACCAAGAGACAAGGATCTGCCAAAGTGAAGGCCACAAGGAGCTCCTCACATAGATATATCCATAAGATTACATGTTGAGACGGAATCACATTGATGTTATATGTCCTACAGCTGCGAAGATTGTTGGGATTGCGTATGCTAAGGTATGTACTGCCAGTGTCAGGACAAAAGATTCTGAAGGTTTGAAGTGAAGAAGTACCTGCGTGGTTTTGGAGGTACATACGCTTACATGAATAAATGTTTGACAGCTACAAGTCACTGCGAACTGAGCATTGTACCATTTCCTCTCTCTGCTTGACCAACAAATGAACACCATCAACACGACAAAAGTCTTTTATATGAAGAGCTGCAACTTTTGAGGCCGGTTCATTATAGTCTCCTCTTTTGTTTCCGAGGCACTGTGTGTGTGTGTGTGTGCAAGAGAGAGTGAGAGAGGGAAACAGAGCTGGTTGCATCGGCCATGAGGAGTGGAGAATGGATCCTCGTTTATGGGTTTTTGATGTTGGACTGCTACATGGGTAACCCTTCCCCATCTCCCACATACTTCTTTTCTAGTTCAGATTGTGGCATTTTTCAGTTTTTCCTGCACTTCCATTTGATCACAGATTTTGATATGGGAACCAGAAGTTTGAAATGCATCATATTAGGAGGTAAAGTTAATCTATTAGTTTGTAGGTTTCTCTATCATAGATAACAGGGTAGAACAAAAATGTTTCTTGAAGAAGATAATGTTAAACCAACATGAAAGCCTTCCATAAATAAAATCAGCACAAAAACAAGTAGTAAAAACCTTCTTTCTACATTTCTTCTTATTGTAAGCTTTGCATTACTATTTTCCTTTGTTTTTCTTCATTTTTTCCTCGTTTTGGCATTAGTAATTTGCTATGCGTTCATGATTTTCTTACAAAGCAAATATTATTTTTGATGTTTGATCATCATTCTAGGATATGTGTTGTTCGTTTCAAGCATCGAGTGTTTTTCCTCTATTATTTTTCTTAATTCTCTATTTAATGCAGTGGAGGAACCCCTAAGACCAACAGTGACATCCACCATCTTGCTAATGTGTGATGTTGTCTGGGTGCCACTTCCTTCTGTAACTTTCTCCCATTTGTAGGTGTTTGTGTTTACTTGGAACTTTATAGAGGGTATATGGTTGATGTTCTTCTTCAACTGAAGAAATCTTTATTGGTTTTTTGTGATGAGAGGACTAAATACTGTATAACTGAAGCTCGAATTCACTACAAATTCTCTTGATTTCTCAATATAACGACAGAGTTCAGATGTGAAGGCCTTGACCATTGTCAGAGACATTATAAGCCCACAATAATTACAGCTGCTTGTTTGGTTATGCTTTCCGAGTTGTCACCTGCTTGCTGCCTGGAACAGGAACAGAGTGCTATTTACTACTGTCCATATTTGGCACTTTTGAGTTCATTCATGGCACTCGGAATATGACAAATCAAACTTAGGCATGGTCACGTTTTGGAGTTAATTCATGACACTCATGAGTTCAACACTTCATTTGTTATTTTGAGAATTATGTTTCGATTGTCAACTAAGACCTGAAGTAGATCGGCTTGAAAACATGTGCTATCTGAAGCACCAACTTCCATGGTATCTACATAACTATTTAACTGAATTCTACAAAACTTCAATGTGAATTAGGAAAGTAATGGAGTTTAAGATCTATAACCAGGAAAAAAAGTTATGTAGACGTTAAACTTGCCAATCGAAACAACTGATAGCATCGGATAATAAACTATTTTCTGGAGTGGATCCAAAATTTTATTGCTCAAATTTGGATTTACATATCAAGGGAAGACCACTTGAACAACTCTGCCTTTGAGGATTCAAATTTGCCATACACAAAAATGGTTAATAGTTTTGGATAAAAAATCTGGTCTGTTGATGTTTGTCATATTTAAGTCTGATTATTCATGGAAAATTCTTAGATAAGACTACAGAAAAGAGACAAGAGCATGTGATGTTTGCACTATGAGCAACTGATACAGGAAGGCAAATAATCTTGGCATGCCAGTCAAACTGCAGACTTTATTATTCACATGATGATAATAGCCATGCACCAGCAATCTAAGAACTAAAAGAGTCTGGATTGTGATGTTTTAGTTATTTAAAAATAGGGATCATCAATGTTCCAAGTAATTTTTTTGCTAGGCGAAGATCACAACAGTAACATCTTATCTTCCTTCATATACAGTAATTTGTGGAGAATTCTTGTTTTGTCTTACAATTTTTTTACTTTTTCTGGTTACTGATCACCAGAGCAGAACCCTCCAATTGCTAGTGTCTGGTGAAAGTATTGTTTTGCCCTTTCTCTTTGATTGCAGGATCTTTGAGCCAAACATCAAAGATTTGGGATAAAGCATCTCTTTTCCCTTTTTAAGATCTGATGTTCCTCTTTAGCAGAGCTGCGTGACTGTCCTAATAATGCTTGCTCAAAGCTTTAAACTCCTACTGTTCACAATCTTGATCTTATTGTTTGTGCACTTCATCCTGTTCATAAGACATTTACAGCCAAATCTGGGAGTTCAGATAAAGCCAATCTTTGATGGCATTAATTTTTTAGGTCCGATGCCATTAGGATCAATAATAAAGCCAACCAAACTAATTAGTTTTATGTTAATTCTTTTTTGGTTCTTTTACTCACTAGGCAGGAAAGAAGTTTGTTTCTTTGAAATATAATATTAGAGTGTAAGCATTTCATGAGGTATAATCCTTTGTAATCAGAATTATGTTAACACAATTTCCTGATTCATGCAATTATGGACATCATGTTGCTTTATGATCTATGTGCCATTTAGTTTCCTTCTCTTGTTCTCCGACATCTGGCCTTCAACCTTTCTGATTCCATGGAATGATCAGTTGTTGCACTGGGGGTAATACTCCAGCAGAAGGCTGAATCCACCATCCCAATTCCGACATTCTCTCCTCCCGAAGGTAACACAACGTTCGTCGAGGGCACTACATGGTGCGTTGCCCGCCCGGGGGTTTCTCAGTTTGACCTCCAGAATGCGCTTGATTGGGCATGTGGACTTGGTGCTGCTGACTGCTCACTTGTGCAGCCTGGTGCCGCCTGCTACGACCCAGACACACTTCTCGGTCATGCCTCCTATGCGTTCAACAGTTATTACCAGCAGAACGGAAACTCCGATATCGCATGCTACTTTGGTGGAACTGCAATCATCACCAACAGAGATCCAAGTAAAACTCCTCAATCTCAAGTTCTCAAAGTTTTTCTATTCCAACAAACAGTCCAAGTAACAGACTGCTGCATTTGCTTGTCATGACAGGTTACGGTTCCTGCAAGTATCTCAGTTCAGGGTGAGTGCTCTTACATTGTTTGAACATTTCCATTGTCATGTCATTAGAGATATAACCAAAGCCTTGATCATGATAAAATTGTATGCTAGGCAAATTTTTTATGCTCATCATTGATTACCTCCACATATTTTATCATCATACTTGTTACTGAACCCTGCAGTGGTACTTAGCAGGCTTCCCTCATGAATGCAGGCCAATTTCTGCTTCATCTCTGTGCCAGAGGATCTCCACCTTGAAGATTTTGGGAATCTTAGTCCTTTTATGTTTAAACACTAGTTTATGATGCACCATTATAGGGTAATCAAGGTCCGCGTCCTCTCTAATTGTAGCTGATTCCCTAGTGTTTTTTGGCTATTTGGTCATGTTTAAACCTTCGGATGAAGTCAGTAAGTCTATTAGGTAGTCCAGTTTGGTTAAACGAATCTTCCGTGATGATGAGCTTACTCGATGGATGATGCAGTGGTAACTTGTTTGTGTTGGTTATAGGTTTGTATCATGCGTATAAAGTCAAATATAGTCTGATTCATACCCAGAATGAGATATGAGATGTTGAGGCAAACATAAAACGGCAGGTCAATGCATTAGGTTCCTTCCACTCTGATCCAAGGTTTGAGAGAAATTATATGCCCAGACATAGCCTCAGGTGCAAGCAGGTTGCTTCTTCTATTTAAACTCATGGCAATGCTTGTTTCACTGGAGCAGTTTCACTAGGTTTCTCTTTCAAATGTTCCGAGAATTTATGTTATGTTAAATTTGCCGAGTCAGCAACATTCTTCTGGGAGAATGGAGCATGGATGCATCTTAGTGCAAGAATTCTGTGAAAATGGAATTCAAAGAAGCTCACTGCATGAGTTTGTCCATATGAACTTATTCAATCATAGACATTTTGGATTATCAGAGTTTGCTATACTGATTGAGGCTTTTCATTCTGAAATCAAATAAGCTAAACCTGTGACTAAACTCCATAGAAATTCAGTATCTTACATTTTGCAATAGTTTGTATCTTATAATGCAGTTAATATTCTTCAACAGCAATACAAATCATAACAATGATAATGCCATCTTGATTTCTTCTGTGTTAGCAGATGGATGATCAGAAATCTAGGAGTTTTTGTAGTTCACAGTCCAGAGGGAAATATAGTCAACTAAATATTTTTAGTATTTGTTTTCAGATTGGATCTTCTTTTGGCAACAAAATAAGGTGAACTCTCCACCTGGATGTAAGTTAATAAGACACTGAACCAAACAATTTTCTCCAACCCTGAAATATTCTCTCAGATCAAAAACAAAACTCTCTTTAGAATAAAAAAAAAGGGAGAAACAAGCTGCTCTTGCATTTGCATAGTTTTCAGAATTCCCTGTAACAAAAATCACTATACATTTTGATGATTCAAGCATTATAGTTAGCAACTGGTGAACATGAACATTCTATGCTGTGTTCCCAAAGCCAAGCACTCCAGATGAAGCTTCTTGGACTCCCAAAGTAAACAACCACACATGGGGATCAAAATCTTCTATTCTTTTGAGAGCCAACAGATATAACTCTCTCCATGCTCTCACAGTGTGAGATGGTTTCTTGAGTCTAAAAAAAGATGCTAAATATACTGTTCATGACACCTGGTTTTAAGCTAATCAGTGCAAAGCAGAACCTGAACGTCTAAAGGTTTCTTCTGCAGAGCACACTATCTTCAGACATGGATGTCCACAAACTGAGTGTTTTGGCCATTGATGCACCACTTTTCTGATCAGGTGTGCTGATCTATCTTCTCCATCTCTTCTATCCCAACATCTTTTGCATCACAAAGTATGAATGACAGGTATGATGATGTATGCTGAGCTCCTCTTCTCCATATCTTTTGCTTCACATACTCTCTTGGAAAGCTCAGGTGAGTAGAAAAGGGACCCAGTTTTTTTATGATGTTGTCACCAAGTTGCTCCAAATGACACAGTCTTGGCCTTGCATGTGAAAGCCTTCTTTTGCTACGCTAATGGAATGAACCACATCAAAGCTTTCATGTTTTGGTATATCCATGATAGAGAAGCCAACCCTGGTTAATGCTTGCTGTGGAGTTAGGATGTGTATTGGGTGGAATGAAAAGGACATGGTTTGGTGTTGTACATGGAAGTCAACATCCTGCTCTGATGGATGAGGAGTTGGTCCAACTGATGCCAGAGATTCCACAGTGAACCAAGGAAAGTTGGAAGTGGATGATTACATTTCACACTGAAGCCAGAGATTTTTAGCAGTTTGGCAGGTGAAGGAAGAAGGTGTGGCATTTTTTTTTCTTTTCTTTAAACTTTCTTGGATGATTATAAGTTGATTTTTCCTATAACAAGCCTCAAATTTCTGGATCACACCCCTTTCTAATGTGTTACACTGTTTTGATTATATTATCTAAAACAATATAACTCCTCCTTTTGAAATCAATGTGATCATATATTGACCTAAACTTACATGAATGGTAGAATATAAAGCTTCCCACTCACTTTCAACTGACACTACTTGTAAAAGAATTAGAACTGACTCATGTAAGAGTTGGGAAGATGTGCCAACCATACTACTTTGACCTTAAAGAAATCCAAAGCCTCCAAGATAACTCCATTCAGAAGTGTCTCATACATCTTAGTCAAAACAATATAATACCAATCAAAACCAGAATAATTGGGAACTAAGGACCTTAATCCTTACCCTCTGTTCCATAGACTGAAAATGAACAGGAAACTTGATTTTCTATAGTTCTTATTTCTAATAATAAATTGAATATAGAAGCATTTCAAAATGCTAAGAGCTCCATTTATGCGCTATTCACATTTGCTTAGCTACTTGCCAAAGTAGCGCTTGCTTTGGAAATTAGCGTTGATGGCGTTGGCTTTAAAGTATAAGATTCTTTCCAACTCATAGATGCAAGTTGGTAGATTGGCTCCACAACGCCTTGTTGTTGTTTAGCCAAAGTTCATACTATGAAGGAATTGACCTATACAAGCCATGGTTGACTTGATCTGAACTACAAAACAAGAGAACAAGGCAAAGCAAAAGAGCAATCCATTTTCTTCTTCCTATCTTCCAATAATAATAACTCGTTAAAATGCAATGCATTAAAGAATTCCGTCAGTCGATTAATGATCCTATCTTTGTGTTGATGCATCGGAGAGAAGCGTCCACATGTTGGGAACAGTCAATTGTCTCCTGCCTCATGATTCCTGATGTCCATTAAAATAATGCCATTTAGAATGGACGATGAAACCCGATTCTCATGTTCCCTGCAAGTAAAATCTCAAGACTTGTGATGCCTTGTTGAATGGAAGTCAACGGAATCTTCTCTGGTCAACAATATACAGCTATCTCCGAGGCCAAGGATGGCAACCTTGTCTCTGTGTGCCACCATGGTGGGGCTGCCCTACTTGAACCCACCCTTTCTTTCATGTCACAGGATCTCAATTTCTTTAGAGGATCCATCTGATTTAGTTCATTTTTCTTTTTAGCTTTATTTGATCGAAAACATTTTTCATATCTAATATGCTTTAAGTTTGAAGGTAGAGTCTTTGCCTTTACAAAATTAATATAATAATATTATAAAAAAATTATTATAATAATAAGATCACACGTAGACTCTTATCTTCGTTATCACTACTACGATTCAATCTGGGTTGGATCCAACAAGCAAGGTATGCAATATCGTACTGTACCGATGTATCGAGATTGGCTCGGTACAATACGATACTGACATATCGAGCGATATATTAGGACTTATCAAATGATTTTTTCTTACTGTAGCATTATAGTATTGTTCATCTGATAGCGAGTACCGATATATCATTAGACCGATACGTGTGCTTACAAAGTGGCAGCCGATTGGACTACAATTGTGTGAACCAAGGAGACATTGCATATGGCGTTATCGTCAACATTAGTTCACATTAACCATCCAAATACTTCACATGACCAACAAAATGTATAGTGCCATTGAATGCCAGCTTTAATGAGGTGTGGCAGACAAACGTTGACCATAAATGTGGTGCCATCCCGTGATGTGATGACGACTGTGGGCCCACCGCAAATGCAAATGGCTTTGACTCTGAATTCAAGCGTTCTCACCCGTCCACTTTTTCTGAGATATTAGTTATCATGAGTTGATAATACTTCGATACAATAATAAGATTATTCATTTATGAATTTGAATGGTCATGATTCAAATCATTTCTAAATCAGGTCTTAAGGCACCTGTTCTTGTAGGACTAATTTATAGAATGAAACGTCCAAAAATAACCCCCTCATGCCATGTTGGCTCTGAACCTATTGATAGATAAATCTACCTCTTATAAGTTCATTCAAGTTATAATTGGCCCTCAAATAGGAGTGTTGGTTACATGTATGAATCACTATGCCAAACATGTAAACGTGACGTTGGAGCCACGTCAACAATATGCATGCATTTTGGCATGCATGTGAGACCGGCCTTTTTGTGTCATCTTCCTCTATGAATTGCTTCCATATGATGACGACTTCATCTCTCAATTATGCGCTCATTCGGAGTCTCGTTTCTGTCGCAGCCTTATCATCTGAAGTATCGAAGGAGCTGCATATTCTATGTGCTGTCCACTGTACTGTACTTCCACGACTCTGCATCTGATCCCTTTAAATAGCCGCAAGCGCTAAGGCCGGCTTAGCGTAGTGTGTGCTTCTTCTGTCTCTCGTCTTCTCTCGGAGGAGCGGAGTATCTCCTAAGCGAGGTAACAAAACTAAGACCTTTTCGTCCCCTTCTTCTTGTCGTGTTTGCTACTTGCCTTTGTTATTTGTTGATCAGATGAGTACAGATCCAGCTGAGATCTTGTACATCAGATTCTTCTCCCGTATCATCGCCTCAAAGTCCTACTACAGCCACAGAACACCAAGTCCACACACAAAGAACTCCTTTGGTGTCATGGAATTATTGCCTGTTTCTGAGTAGTTTTGGTCTTATTTATATGCGTGTGTATACATGTAACTACAGTTCAGCTTGATCTCACACCCACTCCTTTCTCTCTTCTTCTAAGCTGAGAGCAGAGGAGAGAGAAGGATTTGTGTATAGAGAGGAATGGGAGTCGGGAGCGAGGGCGGGGCTACGACGGCGGTGAAGCGCAGAGGCTGCTCCTGCACCAAAGATGACTTCTTCCCGGAGGAGTCGTTCAAGAGCTGGGCCAACTACGGCCGGGCGCTCCGGGAGACGGGGAAGCGGCTGCGGGACCGTGTCACTGCGCGGTCGCTGGAGCAGTCGGAGCTGCACGAGGTGCGGCTGCGGAGCGGCCACGACATGAAGAAGAATCTCACGTGGTGGGACCTCATCTGGTTCGGCATCGGCGCCGTCATCGGCTCCGGGATCTTCGTGCTGACGGGCCAGGAGGCGAGGGAAGACGTCGGGCCCGCCGTCGTCCTCTCCTATGTTGTCTCCGGCATCTCCGCCATGCTCTCTGTCTTCTGCTACACCGAGTTCGCCGTCGAGATCCCCGTCGCAGGTGCTCCTAATCTTTCTGGTTTCTCTTCCTGTTCTGAGATCTGTGTTATGTTTCTCGTGAGTGCTTTATTTCTTGACTTATCTGCTATCGTTGATGACTTCTATCTCCTTGCTTTCAAAGAGGACAATCATT